CTTGCCTACTGAGGTTTTTAACAAGACAAAAAAAATGCCCCTTCCAAAATATTATTAATCAATTTAGTTTGCCAGACCAAAATTTATGCTAACCTTGATTATGAGAATTATTTGTGGGACTAATTCATTTTCTTTCCAATATTGGCCAGTTTTGCCTTTCTAAAATGTGTTATTAGCCCACCATTGAGCCTATATAAGTCGTAATAAATGTAGGGAAAACTTTCCTTGAAATATCAACAATTTGAGCTCCAGTGCTCACTCAGAATCTTGAAGAAAGAGCGGTCCATGCAGTGCAGATGAATCTGCTTGGCTCACTGAGCCGTCCCAGAGCAGAGGCTGCCAGGTTCATGCCACATGACATCCTGGAGACCCATAAAATCATGCAAGAACAAATGCCTTAAGAGAAAACCTGCCCCCAGCAGTCCTGTGTTAATCTCTAAAACACATTGTGTTAAGTGCCCTTGTTTCATTTAGCTGGAGTTCTTTTATTTCAGAAGAGGTCAGACCTCACAGCTCTCTACTCCACATGTGGCTTCCTTCATTCCCTCCATAAATCTGATGTATTAGTGCCAGGACCTGAGCACTCTGGTGTACACTGTGGTCTTGAAGCATAACTAAGGATGGGCTGGGGGTACCTCAGAGAAACCAAGGCTTCTCTGGGTGGAGGGGCTTGTGGCAGAAGAAACCGCTCCGAGGCAGGAAGAGCAAAGCACATTCAATCACTGGGCAGTCCTCAATGTTTTCTCGTTCCCTGTGTTCTCTAATTCTTCTAAAAGCTTAGTGTTGAAATTATTCCTAGTCAATCTGATGTTCTTTGTACAGAGATTTGAGTTCATCAAAAATTGTGTTGTGTATGCAGGGAACACTGCGTCAATTCAGAGTTCAAACAGGAAATTGGCGCGTGCCAGGGATAAAACTGAAAAGAGCTTCATGCAGGGTGTCCTTCCAGAGGTCTGGGCAGTCGAGAGGCCCAATAAGGACAGCAGCCTCCAGCCACCACCCACACAAAACCTGTTCCCTCTGGTAAAGGGTAGGACAGGGACCTGTGATGCCACCAGGTATCAGCACGGGGTGGTGGGGGGCACACACCCGCTTCTGCCCTCCTGTCCTCTGTCTCCCTCCAATGCCTCCTGCCAGCCTCATTGCCCCAGGCAGGACAAGGAAGCCCTGGAGCAGCCTGCAAGGGTGGAGCAAGTGGGAGACCAGCTGGCAGAGAGAACACCACCATGAATACTTATCCAGGACTTCTAAAATCCAGCAGTTGAGGTTCTAGAACAGCTGAGAAATCCAGACACACACCCAGAGTGAATGGGATTCTCTCTCAGGGCTCAAATCTTCCCCCCAACTCTGGAAATCAGTCTCTCCATACAGGAAGGCATGATGTGGGGTTCCCATGTTCCCGTGTTGTAATTTCCCAGGCACTCCAGCATGCAGGGCACAGCAGTGGGCCTGTGATGACTTCAGGGCACACGAGTGCTTCCACCACCACTTCCTTGATGTCAGCTGGGTCCTCAGGATAAGTGGTGATACTAGAGTCTCCAGTGGGGAAGACATCCCTGTGTGGGGCAGGCAAGACCTGCAGAGCTGCGAAAGAGGCTTTCTTCAGGGTATTTCAGGGTATACAGAAGCCCTTCCAGCCATCCCAAGGTGAGTATCACCCTCACCTGCATGGAAACCTGACCCTCCAGACAATGCTACTTCTGGGACCAAGGGAAAGAGGGACAGTGCCCCCAGCATGCCACCAGGCACAGGTGAGACCCAGTGGGGCCCACGGGGGCTCCAATGTAGAAGTGCCCAGAGTTGGAGTGAAGGGTGGGCCAGCAGAGACACTAGACCCGCATCTCAGGACTGGACGCAGACCCCAGGCCAGCTCACTCCACATTGACTGCTCAGAGGGCTGGTAAGAAAGCAGGCTTGCCTAGCCTCTGTGCCGAGTCACTTCTCCGTGTGGCCCTCCGAAGCCCAGGCCCTCTCCTGCTGCTGGGCCATGAAGACCCAGCTCCCAACACAGGTGGCATGCTCCTGCCTGCAGCACCAGCCCACAGGGCCTGGTGGCATTCACTTTCATCATACCAAAAACCCTGCTGATGAGGAACGCAGACTCTGCTGACTCTTGAGCCACTGCTTCCCATTCATTTCTCCTTCCCTTCCTGAATTCGTTCCTCAGCCTCAACCCATCCTAGAAGCCTCTGCATGGAGACACAGCAAAGTGCCTTTGATGGCCTCGCTTCAGGCCCAGGAGGCCCCCAGAGAGGAGTCAATTCAGCCAGGAAGCAAATGGCACTCTGGCCATTCTGTGCTGGGTCTGACAGTGACTCACATGACTGTAATATGTGAAATTGATGGTATTAAGAATGAAAATCCTTCATGGTCCACCCATGTAGTTACTTTTCTGGGATTTCATCAGTATTTCAATTTGGTGCACTGCTTTTCTATTCCCAGGCACTTCCGAAGCTTTTTTCTCTGTCACTAAATTTCTTAGTAAATACCCAGGCTCATAGCTTTATAAGCCATCTACTAGCTGATGCTTCCTCAGTAAACTTCTCTGGTCCAGACCTTTGTCCAAGCCCCAGCCTCATGTGGACGCTTGCTATGCTGCACTCCCTTCAGACAGATTAGCTGCCTAGGAAAGGCCACCGAGCACCATATGAGTGTTGTGTCTGTGCAGGTTGTAGGGTCCCTTCTACCTGCTAACAGAGCCCTAGATCTGCTTGCCTGGGAGCCATCTGAAACACCTTGGGGAAATGCAGATTCGGGTATTCCAGACCTCCTAAGCCAAGTCTGTGAGGGACCAGGAACTCACACTCCTGGCACATCTCCTAGAGGGTTCTGCTTCAACTGCCGTCCCCCTGCAATAGGACCTCAGGACAAGGGTGCTAAGAAGGTACTGGGGACAGGACACCCCAGTGCTCTTCAGGCCATGGCTGTAGCACTTCCAGTGAGAGAAAGCAGCTTCAGCGTGAGATGAAGTGGAGAAGGTTAGGGCGGCCTGTGTCTGGGGCCTGAGGATGTCTGGCTGGTGCCATGGGTAGACACTCCGATGGCCTCTTCTAGGTACTGTCTGAGGCAGAGGGCAGTGCTCCTTTTGGCTGGGGTGCTCTGGAGCACCGCCAAGACCCAGCAGCAGGCCCCTCCATGTACCTTCAGTCAACAGTCATTGAACTGTCAACACCATGAGATGTGATCTGACACCCGAGTTTAGCTGGGTGAGAGGCTGCTGAAAAGGAGGAATGAACAGAGCGGGCAGCGCTTCCATCCCTGTTTGTTGTGAAGGGTGTGAGGGCCACGTGCATCCTGGTGGAGTTAGCAGACCACATGGGAAGGATGCGGGCAAAGGACGTCATCAGTCCCTGCCCATGATCCCTCACGGGACAGGCACCCTTTAAAAGGCAGGTGGCCAGTGGAGGGAGCAAGGGGAGATGGGCTTCGATGGGCTGGTGAGAGCAAGAGACAAGAAGTGAGGAGTTGAATGCCCCGAGTGAAGGCGCTCAGAGCCAGCAGCCAACACTCAGCTGACTCACTGGCAAGTCAAGTTCACAGCATCTCTGAGGCACCCGTGTGTGCCCACTACTGTGCTGGAGCCACAGAGATGTACAAATTGCCAAGAAGAAGCACATATACTTAGAGACCAGACATGGCCAGATACATCAAGAGTAAGTCTACCAAGTATCTGAGCCTGTGGGGATGCAAAAGAGGGAACCCAGGGCACACTGTATGGTGAGTGGGTACAGGAGGGAGGGTGTGTGGTGAGGAGGGTAGTTTGGGTGAGGTGAGGATGGTGGTTAGGTGTGCTGAGGGTTGTGGCTAAATGAGGTGAGGATGGAGGTTAGAGGAGGTGAGGATGGTGTTTGGGGTTGAAGGTGGTGGTTAGGGGACGTGAGGGTAGTGGTAAATGGTGGTTAGGGGAGGTGAACATGGTAGTTAGGGGAGGTGAGGGTGGTGACTAATGATGTCTCCCGAGGGGTGCAATGGGGGAGGAGGAAGAGGAACAGAGGAGCAGGAGCAGGCCAGGACTATCTTCTCTATTCTTTTCTGATCCACCCAAATAATACTTCAACAATAAAGTTATAATTAAGAACAAAATTAATAAATCAAAGCATAGCTTTTTATGCTTTTGTTTTAATTTTTGCTGTAAAATAACAATGGATTTGGTTGTATTTATACAGGTTTTAGTACTTCTTGGTAAAAATAAAATTCTTCCTGTAAAAATTCCTCTTACAGGAAGAATTTCCTCTTTATTTTATAGGAATTAGTGCCACTAAGCAAAATGCCAGGCAGGAAGTACCTCTCGAAGTGCTGCCGGATTTGTCGTGACTAGCACGAGCATTACTCGCGGAGGACCCCATGCCCATTCTAGGAATCCATGTTTTGCTAGAGCTCTCCCAGCAGCTGTGTTAGCATGATTATCACTCATCCCTTCTGTGCCTGAGGATTTTCATGGGGATTAAAAGCATCAAGCCAGGGAGCCTGCTAAACCAAGAAATGCTAAAAAAAAAAATGCAAATTCCAAGATTCTGCAACTCGATGGCTGGCTCTAGCTAGGAGATTTCCTCTGTCTGAGCACCTCAGCCATGCGCCTGTAAAGTCGTGTGGTTTTTAATGTACTCAGACATGTGTGTCCACTTGCACTCATCCAAAAATGTGTCACCCAGGAGACTCAACACATTCTGACAGCGCTGCTTTGAGGACCATGACTGAGCTTTCCTTTTGAATTTAGTTCAGTGCTTTCTTCCTTTGCTTTCTCTAATTGTGGCAGATCATGCTCCTCCAGACCGATTTGCTTTACAGCAACCATCCAAAGTCATTCATAATGAATTACAAGAAGAAGGAGGGCGTTCAGAGTGGTAAATACCATTTCTTGGTTCAAATGGAAGGGGGATTATACAATGACATGGTCTTGGGCCTTCCAGGCGAGCAGCAGGTGGGAGTCCATCATGATGGGGACACACAGTAGGATGCTGGTCACCAGCAGCTTACTGATCTATTTTCTTTCTTTGTAGATCACGTTTTATATTCTGGTGAAGGCCATTTACACCCTGGGCTACAGTGTCTCTCTGATGTCCCTTGCAACCGGAAGCATAATTCTGTGCCTCTTCAGGTAAGGAGCAGAAATGAGTAATTCTGCAAAGAATACAAAAACAAACAAAGTTTCCATTTAGGCCTTCTGGATACCTCAGAGTGGGGTGGATGGATGCCTCCCAGCCTGACATCCTTTCTGTGTGCGAAGGCAATAAACTATCAAGGAGAATGCTAGCATGTATGTTTTTATTTAAATACCCTGCATTTCTTATGCAAAGAGATAATATTGACCTCAGATAAGAATTCAGTTTGGCCATCATTTATTAAATACTTAGCCATTATGCAAATGTCTAGAAAATGTGGAAACAATATGATCTTCTTCTAGCCATCCAGAAGCTCCTATGTTTTGATCCTAGGTGCTCCATTGAGAGATGGCTACAAAGTATTTAAGAACAATGAAGGCAGAGTCAGACTGTCTGGCTCAAATCCTGGATGGGTCTCTTAGCAGCCATGTGACCTTGGACAAATCACTTAACCTTTCTGTGCATCTGTAAAGTGTGATACTAATGTGCCTCCAAAGGGTTGTTGTGAGGCCTTAACATGTCAGTAGGTGTGAAGGGCTCAGCACAGCAATTGGCATTGTGATAAGAGCCTTTTAAACGATGCCTACCTTTCCCTGGCTATCAGGTTGGATGGCCCCTGCCCACTTCCCTGAGAGGTCTCTTCGGTAACTAAGGACTACATTTTTCAGGTTGGTCAGGTTTGAGGGTAGAGGTGTTGGTCCCAGAGCAGAAGCTTCTCTATAGGAAAAGCTAAAAAGTGTATTAGGATTAAACCTGAGTCTTTAGCATCTTTAGCACTAAATAAAATGAATGATATCAGCTTATTTTAACAGTGTTTCGATCACCATATGTTTTATTTCTCTTTGCTAAAATATAGTTCAAATGTTTTCTAGTATGTTAGATAAAACCAATGATATAGCAAATGGAATAGTTCTAGACCCAAACAACAGCCCATTAGGGGATCCATATTTGGAAGTAAAATAAACGAGTTAAGAGTGGTAAAGAATATTGCTAAGCAACCCAGCAAATGTCATTGGATTACATTTTTCATGTTTAGGCCATCTTAGCCATGGTTGTAATTCTCAGAAAGAATAAGTCTGTGCCTTTAATCCAGAACTATACTTTGAAAAGTGTGAGGAGCCGGGCTCAGTGGCTCAGTCTGTAATCCTGCGCCTTTGGGAGGCTGAGGTGAGTGGATTGCCTGAGCTCACGGGTTCGAGACCCACCTGGGCAACTTGGCGAGACCTCATCTCTACAATAAATAAAAAACTAGCCGGGCGTGGTACCATGCGCCTGTAGTTCCAGCTACTTGGAAGGCTGAGGCGGAAGGATTGCCGGAGCCCAGCAGGTCAAGGCTGCAGTGGCTGGGAGCAGCCACTGCACTCCAGTCTGGGTGACAGAGTGAGACTCCAGCTCAAAAAAAAAAAATAGAAAAGTGTGAGGAAGTGTATCATATTCTAGTTCTTTAAAAAAAAAAAAAGCTGATGAAGTGTTCTATTATCTCTGTATTTGCTATTTTTTTTAATTTTAAAATTGTTAAAGAGAAGAAAGAAAGAAAAAATGCAAGGAAGTAAGCTGATACAGGGTAATGAAACTAAAACAAAATGTATTATCTTTCCTATATTGAACAATCCACATGCTGACATACATCGATTTATTTCAAATTTATACAGAATAGCCTTTTTTAAAATTGTGTGTGTGTGTGTGTGTGAGAGAGAGTCTCACTTTGTCGCCCAGGCTAACGTGCAGTAGCATGCTGCTCATGGCGATTGAAGCCTTGCCCTGCTGGGTTTAGGAGATCCTTCCACCTCAGCCTTCTAAGTAGCTGGAACTACAGGCATGCACCACCATGCCTGACTAATGTTTTTTATGTATTATAGAGACAATGTCTCGCCATGTTGTCCAGGCTGGTCTCGAACCCACAGGCTCAGGCATTCCTCTTGTCTCCGCCCCCCAAAGTGCTGGGATTACAGGTGTGAGTCACCACACCTTGCTAGCCTGGCATTTTTATTTAGTCAGCTTAATAGTACTTAGGAATTATTGAACATATATATGCTGACCCTTTAGGGGCATCAAGCACAGTCTTCCATATATGGACACCATTAGTCACCTGCCTGTGGCACCTCTTGGTTGGAAAGGGGCATGGCTGCTTTGGATGTCTTCCTGCTGATGGCTGAGTATGAGATATTTGCCAGAAAAAGTGTTCAGAGCTGCTATACAGTTCTAGGCCCAGGGCTCATCCCACCAACTTCCATGAGAGCAGGAGCCGATGCTACTCCCTAAAAGTTAAGAGAGTGAGTCCATTCTAAAATCCATATTATAAAAATAGCATACTCCATTGTCTCAGTAGTTCTATCCAGAAAACAGAACTCTTTGCTGTCATCAAACATTTCTTCTCCATGATAGTCCCATAAGCGAAGAAAGCATTAAGCAACCATGTGCTTATTTTACACACAGAGAAATGGAGCGACCTATTTCTCAGAGCAAGTCCCAAAGTACAGTTTAGACTCTGACAGCAAAGTTAGGGCCCAGCTTTGTTGGGAGCTGCTAGTTAGTGACAGCAGCCCCTGTGACCCAGGGTCTTGACAAGGCTCTAGTCCTCCCCAGCCCAGCAGAAAGGACAGTGGACAGTGCAGTTGCAAGCCTTCACAGGCAGCGCTTTCATGGGTTTGAACTGCATGAGTCCACTTACATGCAGATTGTTTTCAGTAAGTCCAGTGAGCCCTTCATATTGCCGGGCTCTGCATCTGCAGATTCAACCAAATGTGGATCAAAAATGCAGTATCCTCAGGATGAAAAACCCACAGAGATGGCGGGCCAACTTTTCACATTCTCAGGTTCTGTAGGAGCAACCGTAGAATGTGGGCATTCACAGATTTTGGTACTGGGGGGAAGGAGTGGTCCTGGAACCATTCCCCCACAGATACTGAGAGACAACTGTAATTGCTAAAATATCCTGTGCCAAGTGCATTGTAGGTATTGCACTTTATCAGGTAAGTACTGCCACTGTCCCAGTTTTACCAGGCAGAGCACAGAGGCTCAGGCAGGTCGCTGGATGGCACAGAGTTGTTGGGCCAGTGCATGCAAATCCCTGATCTAAACCAAGCTGTCATGACCTCGGTTACCATCAGGCGTTCTGTGGCCTCCAGAGTTCATTTCCAGCCATCACTAATGAGCGGGTCCAGCCTTGCCTTCTGGAAGCCTTGCTCTGGGTTATGTCTGTCACCCATTGTCAGAGCCATACGTGGAAGTGAAATTTTAAAATGAGCATTGAGTAACGAAGAACTCAGCAAACGTGGGTTTGGACGACTTACGAACTAAAGTGAAAGTGTGCTCACCTCTAAGTGATAGCTGTCAATCCCAAACCCAACTTTGTGGAAGAAAGACATGAGTGGGAGAGAGAGAAGGAAAAAAAGAATCTAAAACAGGAAAGAAAAAAAGAGGGTTTGAAGAAACGAATGCAGCCAAAAAGAGAATCCATGGGAAACTAAACAGCAAGGGTGGTGGCAATTTGCCTTCAGAGAGAAGCAGCCTTGAGCAGTGAGCAGAGGCAGGAGGGGGCGGTGCCGATGCTGTGGTCTGCCCAGAGCCTCTTTAGCCACGAGCACCTAGTGCATGACCAGGCGGCTTTGGAATTGCTCCCAAGACACCAAGAAAAACTTAGGCCATATTTGCAATTCTTCACTTTCTAAGGCTCTACAGTAGTGCTATGTATGTTGGAGTACAAGTGTTCACTGATGAAGTTCACATTCAGTAAAGTGATAACTCCTCAGTGTACAACCTGATGCAAGTTTACGTATAAAGTGAACACAATACCAGGTCAAGATAATAGGATGCAATTAGCACTGGAAGCTCCTATGACCACTCCGTGTCCACAACCACCTTTTTCCTAAAAAGCAACCATTTTTCAGATTTCCGTCACAAGAGATTACTTTTTTTTCTCTTTTTGAAAATGTATCTCAGAATCATACAAAAGGAACTCCTGATATCTGGGTTCTTTCATTCAGTACTTTGCAAGGAGATTTATCCATGTTGTTACATGTAGTTATCATGTTCTCTTTTATTGCTATGTAGTATTCCATTAAAATAATATAATAAAATGTATTTGTCCACTCAACTGTGGATGGATATAGGGATGATTTGGTTTTAGGTAAATAATGCTACTGTTAATATTCTTAGTAACTACCTATTGCACATATGTGCATGTTTCGTTCCTATTTTTTTTTTTTTTTTTTGAGTTGGAGTCTCACTCTATCGCCCAGACTGGAGTGCAGTGGCGGCTCCCGGCCACCGCAGCCTCGACCTGCGGGGCTCTGGTGGTCCTTCCGCCTCAGCCTTCCAAGTAGCTGGAACTACAGGTGCGCCCGGCTAGTTTTTTATTTATTGTAGAGATGAGGTCTCGCCAAGTTGCCCAGGCAGGTCTCCAGCCCGTGGGCTCAGGCAAATTCACTTACCTCAGTCTCCCAAGGCACGGGATTATAGGCTGTCACGGAGCTCGGCTTGTGCATGTTTCTTTAAACATGTGTGTTCATATGTGCACACATTTATATTTTTACATTTGTATTTATTTTTACTTACCTTTACTGGTCATAGGCTACACATAGAATTAACCTTTTTAAATACTGCCTTTGGATACACTAACTACCCTGATTGGATCAATATACAACATAGATATACATCAAAACACCAAACTGTACCCCATCAAAATGTACAATTACAAATAAACACATTTTTTAAAAATAAGTAAATGCTGCTAAGTAATTTCCAAAATGGTTGTCCCAGCTCACATGCCTGCCAGACGTGCATGAGATTTCTATTCACTCTACCATTTGGTACTGTTCATTTTTAAAATTTCAGCCATCTTTGTGGGTCTATAATAATATAGAGTTGTTTTAATTTGCATTTTCCTAGTGTGTAATGAGTTCATATGCTTCAAAATCTTGCTTTATTTTAAGTGCCATTTCAAATGTTTGCTCATTTTTCTATTTGGAACTTTTTTGCCTCTCTCCCTCACAAT